TACTCGCCCGGCTCGAGGAACGACTTGGACAGACACACAATGTGGCTTACTAAATCACAATCGGGGCTAAGACACACTAACGGCTTCTCGTCGATGTCGCCCGAGCACACAACACAAGTTGAGCTTTGATTTGGGCCGTGATCGCCCGAGCCACACTTCAATTTCTTGCTGACCACGGGTCCGTAGCACACGGGCATGTGAAACGGCGGCAATTTGTCACTCTAAAAATTGACAACGTAAGACTCGGCGTGCGCTCACGAGAAACTACCGGAAAGTCACGTGCAAACTCCTGATTTAGCCAGCGTATCGTTAGCGGCAGCCGTAGCCACGGACCCACACGAAACATTTCGGCGAGCACGCGGAGGGCGTAATCGTAGACTGTCTCGCGCGCCTTCTTCCTCGGCAGATGACTGAGACGTCGAGAACGATTCGGATGTTGCCAGGCCCACTCGAACTACCTCAAATTGCGGGAATCGAGTCAATTCGGAAGCGGTCTATACGTACCCGTAGTGCTGTGATGTCGTTGGGAAAGCCGTGCACGATTAACACCATCGTCCTGTAATTTTCTAAGCGTTAGCCAAAAATGCGCGGCGACGGGATTTACCAAGGGCCCCTTTTGCTTGTTCTCCACGCGCCGCCCGCCTTTTTGCCTTTGTTGTGCTGTTTAATTCGTCGATTTGGGTCCACTGTGTAGCCGATGTAGGTGCGGCCTTTGTATTTCGGGTTGAGGCAGTACAGCAGGTAGACTCCATAAAATTGCTCAATTGTATGAACATTATCGTCCATCTCACCAAGTTTAAATAAAGCTAAACTAAAACCACTATCTCTAAATCGAAGTAAAATAGGGTTATGTGTCTTATGACAATTGACAGATTTCAGCTTTTATACATAGGGCGCATTCAGGTATGCTTCAAATCGAGCATACGTTTGTTATTGAAGATTACTTCAATTCAGGGATTTTTCTTTTTTTTCTCAAAACTGCCTTTATTTCCGCTAAAACATAAAACAGGTTCTTTTGCATAAATGGTTCCCTAACTTTCTCATGAAAACATCACTTTTCAAAAAACCTCTCCACCAACTCTACAAAACTAAAACATACAGGGTGCTACCTAAAATCATCCTAACAAATTTTAAAATTCAAAATTCTTATTTGTTCCACACACTACATTTACGCTAACCACTGTTTAAGCTGCATTGGCAACCTCCTGTTTACAATTAATGAGTGAAAGTATTACGTCAACTTTACACAAAGGAATCATTCGCAACGCATTAAATTCGTGTGTAAGTAGTGTCGCCATCTATGTAACAGACGATTGAAGTACAAAAATCGGACCCAATCCTAATGGGGCAAGATACTTTTTTCTGTTCTCCACATAGACGTAATAAAATCAAAACAAAAAAAAATATGGTTATGTTGACTGTCATATAAAAGCACGCCAAATTTTTCTGCGTTAAGTATTAATTTTCATGATTAATTTTTAGTATTGTGAGTGTTACCATTTAATATACATGGCTTAACGTTTAAGGTTGTGAATCAAGGACAATTACACGTAGAATTCAAAAATGCATTCAAATACCGGGGGTTCTATTTAAAAAAATGTACCATTTGGGCGCCCTACTTTGTGGGCGCACCCTGTATAATTCCAAATATTTTTAAAATGTGGAGAATATTCGACCATATCATAATACAAAAGCTCTCTATCGAAAAATCTTATCTTCAAGGCATTAAGTTACTCCGCGCAATCGTTGGCTCACCCTGTACAAGTAGATATATTTTTCTCAGGTCTTTTTTATTAAACTTTTTTTTTAGTGTTATTGTTTAAATCAACATTAGTTGTGCTGTCCTTAGAATTTTGTTGATTAAGTTTTGCAATAACTGTAGGTGTTATTTATTTATTTAATTAAAAAAAAAGGGACTGAGAGTAGGATAGAACATTAAGAAAACATGATGTATAATTTTGAAACGTTTTCCCATTGAGTTCCAAGAGTGTTTCAAAAGTATTTTAGGGAGCTTCTAGAGGATTTCTAGAAGTTATTAAGTCAAGTTCAAGAAAAATTCTTTATGTTTTGCAAGAGGCTTTATGATTCATTTAAAACGAGTAAGCAGCAAACTTTAAGCGTCGTAAGGGAGTTTATAGGATGTTCTTAGAGAGGGTTTTGAGTGCACTTTGAAAGAATCCATCCTGTATATACAACTTACGACGATACATACATTTTTTGAGAGTTGGCAACCATGCAATTTCTAGGCAAAAAAGCTTTTGATTATAGGAAATAAAGTCACTAGATATAGAAAGTACCGCAATCATCCGCCATTTTTGGGCAAATTTGCTACGAACTTAAAAAAATGGACAAATAAAATCTGAATAGCTGTCATTTTTTAACACCTAACTTCATAGTACTGTCATGTTTTATAAAAATATATACAGATATCTCCAAACAGGTGGAACAATCCCTAACATTAAAGTTACTAGATTCTGGTAACTTCGGCCATTTTTGGGCAAAAATCATGCGTTCTCTCTCTAACACACGAGCCCAATGGATTGCGGTACTTTCTATATTTAGTGACTTTAATAGGAAAAAGCTGCCTGCGCCATCTAGAAAGCACGAACGGAGGTTACGTTTGGCATCTTGTTTTGAATGGCGGTCGTGTACGCGTCGCTCCATAAATGTTTGTTGTTATTTTGTGATATTTAATGCAGGTAGTAATTTTTGCATTTATTTATATCGTATTTGTGTTTTGTATGCCGCATGTTATATTTTTTGTATGTTTCCATCTTTGTTTGGTTGCTTGGTTTAACCGCAATGCAGAATGAAATGTTTAATACCGTTTGTTTGTAATTGTTAACGTTTTTTGTGTTTGACATATGTTACCTCTTGAAGTCTACATGCTACTTTTTGTTTTCTTTTGTTTTTCTCTTCCAAGAGAGTTTCAAAGGACCTGGTAAAAAGTTTCAAGGATGTGAAAAGAGCTTCAACAGATTACTAGAAGAACGGTAGAACTGTAAGCAAACTTGGAGTTTATATATCGAATTTGAAGCAAGAGGTCAGGACTTTCGAAAGACCCGATCAAATTGCAAGAAAACTTGACAGAAGACTTAAAGCCAGATCTATAAAGCGAGTTTCAAGTCAAATTCAAGTGCTTTTTAGCACTTTACTTTAAAGCTTCAAAAGAAATAATTTCAAGGCTATAGATATAGGTTCAGGAAATGTTTAGTGATGAAGCTTTAGAAGAGTTCCAATGAAGTGTTAAATGGGTTAGTAGAAGGACTCAACGGGATCTTAAGAATGTCATGAAAGTGCCAGGGAATGCTTAGGGCATGCTACAACAAAGTTTCTGGAGTTACAGTTTGTCTTCACACTACAATAACGCGGAAATAAAATCAGCCCGACAACGTTTAAAACCGGAATGGCCATTCCCTCCAAAAATGCTAACCTGATCGCGATTAAATTTGAAATCGAAAAGTTTTTGATAGCAGGATCTTGCCCCCGAGATAGGTAACTTGCCCCTCGTCCACGGAATTCCAGAAGTATTCCAAGAGGATGGGCTCCCGGAGCTTTTAGACCTCAGTCCATCCTCTACCTCATAATTTCAGCCACCAATCACTTGCGATGCATAATTGGATATGTCCTGGAAAGTTTTTTTTATTGAAATACCATAAGATTCATTAAGATACGAAGTTCATGATTTATTTAATAATTAATCATAAGGTTTTTCCCGAATAGTTTACAAAAATACTGAGACTGCAGCATGCTTAAAGCCACAATAGACTAGTTAATGTCTTAAAAAATAAAATCACAGCAAACTGCAACCAAAAATTAATTCCGGTTCCATTTAATCTCTCTTGTGTATCCTACATGAATCTTCAATATGTCTTATTCGTTTCTTGCAAATGAACTTGTAATCGATTGGTAGGTCACACTTTTGGGATTATCGTGTCTTAGCAGGTGTCTTTTAAAATGGGTTTTATCATTTGTTCCGTAATCGCACCTGGCACATTTAAAATTTTTGGAAGTCTCGTGCGTTCCCAGATGACTTTTAAAATGGGTTTTATCGTTCGTTGCGTAGTCACAGTGGGTGCACTTAATATCCATGGAGCTCTTGTGCGTTAGCAAATGTCGTTTCAGATTGTAACTATGAGCGGTTGTGTAATCACATTGGTCGCATTTGAATTTTTTGTAAATGTCTCTGGAAATCTCGTGTTTAAGCGAATGTTTTTTAAGCTGAAATTTTATATGCGTCGAAAAATCACACCGGTCACATTTGAACTCTTTTAAAGTCCTGTGTGTTAGTAGATGATTTTTAAAATTGAATTTATGATTGGTAGCGTAATAACAATGACCGCATCTAAAATCCTTGGATGGCTTATGCGTTAACAAATGTGAGGTAAGTTTGAACTTGTGATTGGTTGCAAAATCACACTGACCACATTGGAACACTTTGGATGTCTTGTGGTTTAAAAGATGTCGTTTAAAATTCGAGTTATCGTTGGTTGCGTAATCACACTGGGCACATTTGAGATTTTTGGAACCCTTGTGTGTTAACAGATGCGATCTCAGATCGGATTTTCGATTGGTTGCGTAATTACAATGGGCACATTTAATACCTTTGAGGGTTTTGTGCGTTAATAAATGTGCCGTTAAACTGGACTTGTAATTGGTTACAAAATCGCATTGGCCACATTTAAAATTCTTGGCAGTGTCGTGTCTTAGCAGATGTGTTGTCAAATTACATTTCCGATTTGTTGCGTAATTACACTTGGCGCATTTGAAATCGTCGACAGTCTTATGGGTTCGCAGATGCGCTATCAAACTGCACCTGTTACTAGTCTTGTAATTACAGTGAGCACAAAAGAAATCCTTCGAAACACGCGGTTGATCTTCACTCTTGACATCATCCTTACAAATGAATGTGTCATTAGCATTACCAGCACCGGTCGTAGTTTCATTAAATTCTTGCGTTATTACTCCTGCAACATCAATTTCTTCTTTTACTTCAACTTTCACAATTGCCGACATTGTCACACACGTTTGAGATGTATAACAGCCACAAACTTGTTTTGTGACAACAGCGCCAAAAAAAAAAAACCGGTTGGCATATGCATGTAAGGACAACACATACAGGATGTTTCATGCTAACCGTTTGCCTGAAAATGTGCGTACCAACATAGTTTTTCATGAGATCTATCTCAAAGAAAATGTTATGTGATGGTCTCACTTCCGGTTTTACTGGATGCCGATAGCAACTTTCTTTTTTTAAATAGAGCAATCCGTATTTTATTCTATTTTCGAAATTTTGACTGCTTTTCTTTGTGCCCTGTATAGCTATGCCTCCGTTGACTGGAATTTCACAAATCAACAGCACGGATGAGAATATGATCAGAGCTGTGGCTATTCTTCCTGCAATATGGGGTTAGTGGAGCTGGAGACACATCCAGGTCTGCCATTTCTGCGCAATCTTCTACTGTTGTACTTGTGTGATGGCAGCAATCGTGAAAGTTGAAGTAAAAGAAGAAAGTGAAGTTAATGCGTCCATTGATGAAAAGATTTTAGTTAAGAATGATGACGCAGAAATAATAAAGCAAGAACTCGATGCTGATTATGCTAATAACGCATTCATCTTTAAAGATGAAGTCCAGAGGGACAATGAATCTTTTAGTGAACAACCTGAAGATTTCCCATCTGTTAATCAACCGCGAGTTTCGAAGGACTGTAATTACATCACTAGTAACTCGTGCAGATTGATAGCACATGAGCGAACCCATACAACTTTTAAGGATTTCAAATGTGCCCAGTGTAATTACGCAACGAATCGGAAATCTAACTTGAAATCACATCTACGAAGGCATACTTACAAAAATATAAAATGTGACCAATGCGATTATGTAACTAATTACAAGTCCAGTTTTTCATCACATTTGCTAACACATGCGACATCCAAAGATTTTAAATGTGTTCAGTGTGATTTTGCAACAAATCGGAGATCTACTTTGAAAGCACATCTACTGAGACATGGGAGTTCCAAAAATTTCAAATGTGGCCAATGCGATTATGTAACTAATTTTAAGTCCGGTTTGAGATCGCATTTGTTAACGCATAAGAAATCGAAGGAGTTCAAATGTCCCCAGTGTAATTACGCAACAAATCGGAAATCTAATTTGAAATCACATCTACTAAGACACGAGAGTTCCAAAAATTTCAAATGTGGCCAGTGTGATTATGTAACTTGTTACAAGGCCTGTTTGAAATCACATTTGTTAACGCATGAGACATCAAAGGATTTCAAATGTGCCCAGTGCAATTACTCAACAAATCGGAAATGCCATTTGAAATCTCATCTGCTAAGACATACATGTAAGACCGCCAAGGAATTTAAATGTGATCAGTGTTATTACGCAACCAATCGGAAATCTAGTTTGAAAACTCATCTACTAATACACGAGACTTCCAAAAATTTCAAATGTGGCCAATGTGATTATGTAACTAATTACAAGTTCAGTTTTAAATCACATTTGCTAACGCATCAGGCATCGAAGAAATTTAAATGTGATCAGTGCGACTTTACAACACATCTGAAAATTCTGCTTAAAGGACATCGGCTAGTACACAAAATATTCAAGGATTTCAAATGTGCCCGGTGTAATTACGCAACAAATCAGAAACGTTACCTGAAAACGCATCTGCTAAGTCACGAGACTTCCAAAAATTTCAAATGTGGCGAATGCGATTACGGAACTAATTACAAGTCCAATTTGAAATTGCATTTGTTAACGCATAAGTCGTCCGAGGTTTTCAAATGTGCCCACTGCGATTTTGCAATGCATAACAAGTTTCAGCTTAAAAAACATCTGCTAATACACGACGTTTACAAACATTTGAAATGTGACCAATGCGATTACGCGACAAATCGGAAATGCCATTTGAAATCACATCTGCTAAGACATAAGATTTCCAAACAGTTCAAATGTGACCAATGTGATTATGTAACGAATTACAAGTCCAGTTTTACATCACATTTGTCAACGCATAAGTCATCCCAGGATTTCAAATGTGCCCAGTGTAATTACACAACAAATCGGAAATGTAGTTTGAAAATGCATTTACCAAGGCATGAAACTTCTAATAATTTCAAATGTGGCCAATGTGCTTATGTAACTAAATACAAGTCCAGTTTTGCATCACATTTGTTAACGCATAACGACATCCAAGGTGTTTAAATGTGATCAGTGTGATTTTGCAACACATGGCAAAATTCAGCTTAAAAGACATCTGCTAAAATATCTAAGGATTTCAAATGTGCCCAGTGTAATTAAGCAACAAATCAGAAATATAGCTTGAAAATACATATGCTAAGACATGGGACTTTCAAAAATTTCAAATGTGCCGATTGTGATTATGGAACCAATTAGAAGTCCAGTTTAAAATCGCATGTGTTAACACATAAGGCATCCATGGATTTTAAATGTGATCACTGTGATTACGCAACCAATCTGAAATCTATTTCAAAACGCATCTGCTAAGACACGAGACCTCCAAAAATTTCAAATGTGGCGAATGTGATTATGGAACTAATTACAAGTCCAGTTTGAAATCACATGTCTTAATGCATAAGCCATCCAAGGTTTTTAAATGCGGTCATTGTTATTTCGCTACAAATCATAAATCCAATTTGAAAAAACATGTTAGGACACGAGATTCTAACAAGGTTCAAATGTGCCCAGTGTGATTTTGGAGCTCGTTTAAAACCTTACACAAGCTTAAAAAACATCTGCTAATACACGACAATTTACAGAAAAGTTGAAAATGTGGCAATGTGATTACGCAACCGGGTATAAATCACAGTTTATACAACTTAAAGCTACATTTACATTCAATTCAAAGTCCAAGCCCAATTTGTCAAGTCGCAAAACACCATATACATTAAAGATTTGGCGGCAAATTTCTAACCTTAAAATATTAATGCTTAAAAGTAAAATACGAGTTAAATAAATGAATATTGTGCAAAAAACTGTGTTGTTAGGATCTCTGGACATGGCTATAGGTTCAATTGCATACCGAAATTTTAAAAAAGGCAGTCTCTCGTAGTATTTTATTGCTATAATCTTTACTGGTTTGATTGCATATGGCAGGATAATTACATATTGACTTTAAAAATAATTCATCATTAATCTGAGGCAAATAATTTTCTTTTCCCTTCTCTTGGAGATCCATTTCGACTACCGCGTACTATCACATTTGTACACAAACAAACTGAAATACTGTCAAATTCTATACCATAACCTACAAATTAAGATTACGCTTGAAGTTTCCAAGCACCCTTGGCCGAATTCGAAGTGGACTTCAAAGCGCACTTCGAATTTGTGGCAATGTAAATGGTACAATGGAGACATCATATGTCAAGCACACGAATTTGACATCCAATTGGTCACGGAATTGAATGTAAATGTACCTTAAAAGTTTTTGACACGAATTCCTAACCTATAAATGCAAGGATATTTTTGCTCAAATGTTAGATTAGTCAATATTTGTAACTGAAGAGGAGCATAATCGTGCAAGTACTTCCACTTGTATTTAAATTATTTTCATAATCCAAACAAAAAATACATAATTCGAATGCAAATGTGCACTACGTAAACTTAACCATACTTTGATTCAATTCGCGCGTTCTTTCGTAAAACGTGATCATACGAATCACGATCTCGAAATCATGATTGCGAAGTAGCCGAAAGAAAGCGCCTATTATTAGGGTTATGAACGTCATTCTGATTGCTTTCAAATTTCGTTTGTAATGTTTTGACAGGAAAAGGCATTCTCTAGAAAAACCACACAAGAGATAATCACCATATAAACATAACAAGTGTCCACAGTATGCAACAATTATTATATACTCTCATCGATATCTGACAAAATGTATGTGTGGGGTAGTACCGTGCACGGAGAGTTGGGCCTTGGTGGTATCGAAGACGAACACATATTAGCGCCGCGACCATTGGAGTGGTTTGGTGCCAACAATATCCAAGAAGCAGCCTGCGGCGATTCCCACTCTTTGCTGCTAACGAAAGAAGGCAAAGTATACTCGTGCGGAAACAACGACTATGGGCAATTGGGACACGAACAGCCAAGAAAAAGGCCACGTATGTCAATGTGTAGTATGTAACCATTCTCACCAAATGTGCTCCCCATGCTTATTATTTTTTAATCCTTCGATTGCTTAATGTAATTTAAACACGCCGTTTTTAGATCAGGTACTTGCCCTCGACGCGTATCGGATATCGCATGTTGCTTGTGGACAATCCCACTCGATGGCGCTTAATGAATGGGGACAAATTTTCACCTGGGGCTCAGATATTCACGGACAGTTAGGACATCAACTCGGCCAACAGACTCAACCAGTTCCAAAAATTTTGAAAGCTCTGGCTACACTTCATGTTGTTCAAATTGCGTGTGGTCATAAACATTCCATTGCCTTAACTAGCGGTAAGTTTGTGGTAGTTCGTTTTTTGATCACTGGGAAAAGAGAAATGTACTTATATGTAACTCAATACAAATCGAGATACAAATGCTCAGAAGGGTAAAGTTCAGTCATTGTATTTAAAACTAAGTTAGTGTCAGGTATTGTAGTTTTTATGGGAGCCCTTATTTTAACTGAATAGGAATTTTAGAGATGACATGAAATTTAATACCAAGTATAATACAATAACTTTCCTTGTGGAAGGGCACGAATATTACTAATGATCTCATATTTTAGAATGATATCTTTGATAGCATAGCTTATACACACAAGCCAGATAAAAATGTGTTTGTGTATTTTTTATTTCCTGTTCACCTCCTTGTTTATTTAATTATTTTTGATTTTACCTAATGGTAAAATGCTCCTTGTCATTTATTTGTTTTAATATCTATAATAATGTAAAGAAATGAAAATGTTTTAAGCTAATAAATTAAGAACCAGCGGCCAACACAGTTAACGTGTTCACCAGAAGGATGAAAATTAAGAGATTATAATCTTGGTAGCTTAATCAGACATTGAGGTAGGTTGCGTCATCATCGCCTACATCTCTAAAAAGATGTGATTGTAATGTGTGCAATGTAGAAAAAGTCGTCAGGTGATGAGGATTCATTTTGTGAAAATTTTCTTTTCTTGTCGCCGAGATTGTCACCCTGAAGGTGATGGCATTTAGTAACTATGCAAGTGTAATACATGTATTTTTCCAGAATGAGTAGCACTTTTGAAATATAAAATAAAATAATGCATGTCGGTCTTTAAGAAAAAAAGTTGATGATGGCCTCAAAATAAAATTTGACCATGTCAGTTCGAGGGGTCATCCATCAAGCAAAATACTGTACACCAAATAGCGATTCGGCAGTATTTACTTGTATTGCCAATAATGCTTGTACTGCTGCTGTATTGTTTAATGCATAATATGAAATGGGTTAAGTGGTAGAGCAGACTACAGTATTTTACTGTGGAACTGAACTTCGCCCCATTTCACCATTTTAAACTGTATTTTTTTTCTTTCGTCAATTTAATAAAGGCATTATTATTATTATTATTTGATTTTCCCGGTCTTGCCGGTTCTAATCCTAGTCAAACGGACTATTGTCAAGTCTGGCTAGTTATTTTTGAGGAAAGTTCTGGTGATGCTGCAGGTTTTCAGTATGACTGCCTTCTGAACGTTATGATGAGTGTATGTATCTAGATCAAGTTGTTGTAAATGTTTTGTGTGTGATTCCTGTTGTTTAACTGTGCTAAGACGTGTAATTTTATTGGGTGGACCTGTTTTTGTAGTGCATGTTGCGTTACTTGTATTTATGGTGTTTCTTTGTTCTTGAGGTTGTATCTGTGTGGTTGCTTGGGTTATTGGTGGAGACGTTACAGTATTTTGTGAGCCTGTAGTGCTGTTAAGGTTGTTGCGTTTGGGTTGAGTACGAGTGGGTTGTGATAACGTGGTGTGTTTCTGAGAAGAAAGAGTATTGTGTTTTTTAGTTATTTTTATTATTCTTATTATTATTATTGATTGTATTAGACGTGTGAATGCCCAATGGTAAATTTCTTATTTATGGACAGATCTTACAAAAATGTGAACAGTAGCACCTTTTGGTAAAGGAAAACCTATCGATTATATTAAACGTGTATTTTAAAAAAACGCGGGCATGCGCAGAGATAGATTTCTAATTTAACCCATCATACTCATAAAAAAAATTAAAAAAAGTAGCACCTTTTAATAACGGCTGAAAATTGCTACATCGATTAGATACTTAACTCAATAAAAGGCGAAGCGGTGCGTGAAAAGTAAATGCAGCAAAAGGAAAGTGCTTGGACTCAACAGGTGCTACAGTGCGGAAAAATTAAGTTTTGATCATTGTTCTTTTCGGAGTGGTATATTAATCCCGAGGAGTTGACCGCTGGGCAAATGTGGTGTACAGTCCCGTGGAAATGATGAGCAAATGTTGGACAAATGTAGCAAATGTAGCAAATGTGGAAGAAATGTAGCGAATGTTCAGGGAATGTGGCAAATGTTGAGGAAATGTAGTTAATGTTTATTAACTATGACATATCAATGCGAGTATCAATGATTTGTAAATATAAAGATAAATGTATACCAGGCGCTTTCATTTCGTGAAAATTATGCAAAGAAAGTGTTTTAACATTCGTTCATGTAGTGCAGTCGTAAATAATGTGCTCGAGCAAGGTCATGGTGTTCTATTACACACCATGAGCAAGGTGAATTAATAACGGTGGCGGCACTCCGACTGTTTTATACAGGGTCATTCTGGACGAGCGTCAGTTACAAAGATATGGAGAACCTTTGAAAATGACACTAAACTGATAAATCCTTTAAGGGTTTTGGCACATGATGAATTGAACTAAAATATTTTCAAGATGGCGCCACACTTCCACAAATACCGGAAGTAGCCATCAATTTTGTTATTTTAAATAGGGACCCCCTATTTTTTCTACACTTTCGAATTCTACGTCAAATTTGGAGTACAACGATACCCTATAGTTGACCCTTTGCTCCAAGGGCTTCGTCGATAATCAAGTTTTTATGTCAAAAATGGAATTTGCAGGGGTAATTTTAAAAATTTATTATTCGAAAACGGTGAGAGATATTAAGGAAAGATCGACTTTTCTTATGGTATGCGTAACCGTCTAAAAAGTGAGACTACGTCACTCTTTCAAAGCTCTCAACTTTTAAATTTTTAAATATTCGTAACACCATTTTTTCAAATGGCCCCCCCCCCCCCCTCACATTTTTTTCTTCACTGATGTCCTTTTTCCGAGACTTTTAATTTGATACAAAATGTCAGAGGCTGCTTCAAACGGTTTCCAAGATATTCCATGTTTTAGTCACTTCTTGTAGCAAATTGATTAATAAAAATTAATAAATTTTTTTTAATTACCCCTTCAAATTCCATTTTTGACATAAAACCTTGAATTTCTTTATTCTTTAAATATTCCAGCTATCATAGTATAAACTATATCAGTCTCGATATCAGTGTCGTCAAACATATATAAACTAGTGCATCTACTAACAGAGCAATCTACACATATAAATAAAATCATAAAAGGTCAAGTTAAAATACAGTAAAACACTTAAGTAAAATAGACAAAATATCAAAGAATATTAGAACACCAATCAGTAAGTAGAAACTCTTCAAAAGTGTAAAAAGCGTTAATCTTAAGGTAACTAATCACAGCATTTCTTAATTAGTCGATTTATCGACGAAGCCCTTGGAGCAAAGGATCAACTGGTTGTACTCCAAATTCGACGTAGAATCCGAAAATGTAGAAAAAATAGGGGGTCCCTATTTAAAATAACAAAGTTGATGGGCACTTCCGGTATTTGCGGAAGTGGCGCCATCTTAAAAATATTTTAGTTCAATTCATCATGTGCCAAAACCCTTAAAGGACTTATCAGTATAGTATCATTTTCAAAAGTTCTCCGTATCTTTCTAACAGTCGTCAAGAATGACCCTGTATAGGAAGTGCGTGTACCAAATCTGCCCTCGTATATTGCTGACCTTCCACGTTGAGATAAAACGCCTAAATCTCCGTACAATATGCGCATGCGAAAGAAACGTCAAAGTTCAAAGTTGCAATTTGTTATTAATTAAAATGTAGGTTAGGTTTTCATCACAGGCTATTATAATGAATAAACATATTCGTAATGTACATTTAAACTCGCACTTTTGAGGTTGTTATACCAAGAGCCATGTTTCGCTGCAGCAGTATAAAATCCGAAAAGGACAGTCGTTTTTTTGTTTCTATGATCATTAATAAGATGATTCTGAAGTTGTAACTCATACAATGTGTTGATGTACCTACCCATTGGTTACACAGGCCAACACGATTTTTGACTTTGATAGGAGAATATGAAATTTTGATACATTTATTGATAGTTAGACAAAATAATATATAGGGCCTGAAAAAGTTTGCTTTTGTATCCAGGAGAGCCGTTGACCAGTATTTTAGAAAATCCAGAATTGAAATTTTTATTTATCGATAAATCGAAACAAATGTGTATGAAACTTTCACTATCATATCCAATTTAAAATAGTAAAAAAAGTTTAGTAGTGAATCCTATTACTCTTTTTTCCGTGTTCATAAGTACTCTCACTCTCACTAAACCCAAAAACAAAATATAGTCCCCCATCACACTTTCGTTGTATTTATCATGATAATGTTGCTCAAAGTTCATAATATCTTGATAACACGTTCTACTCATTTTTCTGAGTAGGTACGCCCTCATATAATAAATAATAATAAAAATAATCATATTTATTTTTTTTTTGCAAAAAATTGTTCACCTTCTAAAGGTCTTTTGTAGTTACTACAAGCAACATGTGAAGCCCAGGAGGTGTCTAGATTCCGAATGGGGCAGTTAAAATAGGTTTCGTAAGCTTCATAACGTTTTTTACAGACATTTAAAAAAAATTTTAATAAATATACCATAGACACGAACTTATAAGTTAAGATGTACTGCTAATGCTGAATTGACAAATGACACCTACATGGGGGCAGCCATGATGTGCACTTACTTGGCGCGAAATTCAAATCAACTAATAAACAAGCATTAACCTCACGTTTTCTAAATAAATTACTGTGACACATGTCATTTTCCAAGACTGCAATAGTCTCAAAACTTGAGCACTAGGAAAATTCCCTAGAAAATAACTAAAACGTGCACATCATGGCGGCGCCCATTCTAGGGCCATTTCTACCTCTATGCAACTGTTTGATCAGCAGTCCATCTTAATTTAAAAGTTCGTGACCATAGACCACATAGGTATATAAAAATATGCATCAGCATCATATTTCCACTTTCTTGACCACATTTTAACCTCTATGAGTCTTCTAGAAAATATTCAAATGACCCGCGCAAATGCTTGTACATATATTTAAATGTATGTAGTACCTCAATGATGAGCAAATGTAGCAAATTTCTGGTAAATTTATAGCGAATATAGCAAATGTTGTTTTATGTAGTAAATGTAACAAATGTTGTGGAAATGTAGTAAATGTAGCAAATGTGGAAAATGGCAAATGTGGTGTACACAATTTTGCGCAGTGGTTACCCCCTCGATTGATCCCTTTACAGAAAACAATTTGTTTTATCTACAGGGTGGTTTTTTATGAGAACACCCTTTATTTTAAGAGATTGAAAAACATAGATCAAGGTGTCTGGATAACTCTTTAATTGCACAACCTTTCCCTAATTTGACCACCTTTGTATCTTGTATGAGATAATAATAATAATAATAAAGTTTATTATCCCAACAGTGATAACACCAATTATAGGGCAATATTAGTGACAACAGTCCGAGACAATAGCAGTATTAACATACTTAAGTGACAGATGGCAAAAGACAGTAAAGAGCACGTCCTTAGTTATTAAAGTGGTTAATTACATTCTTCGAAAACTGGCCATAGCTATCATTAAATATATCCACATTTATATTACAAGATAATATTTGATTACAAATTTTCGCCATTTTATGAAGAGGAGAATTTGCTTGATGATAAGTGTTAGGCTTCTGACAATAAACAAATTCCCATGATAGACATTTTTATCCTTATCTTGGACACAGTGTATACAAAAATTTGCGTGCCACTTATTTTCCTATCCCATAGTACTGCTGTAATTTTTTTAGTACAATGGTTCATTCCCGATAAAGAAAAACAGGTATCAACTATACAGTATGTTTATTACAAATAAGCTTTCTTACTTTTCGACATACTTGACTTAAAAAATTCAATTTTTTGCCAGTTTCTTGGTTTTTGAGAAGTTTTGAATTGAAAAGTTAAACTTTATTTTATTTTTCTAAAATTTCATTTTTCTCGAAAAGTAAACCTCAGAATGAAAAAAAAAGAGGCGTCTTGATGAGATCTATAAAAAAGTATTATACACTTTTTGCGTCAGGTTCAAAATAAAGGCGCCAGAGGGCATTTTCTAAATGTTATAATGGACAAAGATAATTGCAATGACTATTAAAAGTAGTCAGAAAGTCAAGTCAGGAGTTTACCTGACAACTAGTTTATCGGCGGTAGTATGTATTTTAGTCCAGTCAAATTAGCTCTAAAAGTAGTCTAAACTGGATGTTGTCATTTCACTGAACGAAACCAAGCGTATTCTATGTAAAAAAATCCGCTGAATCGGAAAATCATAGTCCCCCCGGCCGAAAACGCCCGGAACATATTGTTATAATCAAAAAACGAAGAAAAAACGGGAAAATGTCGTGTTTTTTCACATGTGATTGCCAATATCTCGTTAACTATTGCTCTGAGGGAAAAAATGAATAGAAATGAACTTGTTTAAAATAAAATTTTCTATAAGATACAGTTGGTCCGGAACACTCATTTTCAACTGTTATTGATTTTTAGGGAAAAATGTAAAAACAGTAATCTCTAAAATTAACACTTTGTTATTGTTAAGTAAAATTCATTCGATCTTTTTGAAAATCCGTATTTAGTAACTACTTTTGATAACAAAACAATATGACAAACCAGATCGGCGTAGGTTTCATACTCATTGATTAATTAAATAAACAAGTAGAAAAAGAGATGCTTTGTCTTTCAAACTAGGGGAGTACAAGAGTGTTCTCAATTTTTTTATACATATAACCCTAAAACAATCTTTTCCAATAATTGTCCCGATGATTCCTGCTAATCGACGGACTGTGCAATTTTTTTTTTCAAAATCCGAAGAATTTTCTTAGTTAACAAATGGAATAACTCCCGAAATATAACAAAAAAAATATAACTCTATAATAGGCGAATGTAAAGCTCTCGGAAAGCCGCGCAAATCTGATTAATAGTTCACGAGAAATCAGCTTTTGACTTTGAAGCCAGTTTTCGAAACAACCAAAAATGATTTTGCAAATCGAGTCGCACTGATCGATTCTTCACAGCGCGATCTTTTTTCATGCTTCTATTTCACCAAAATGAATGATTTTTATTAATCCGAGTGCCAAGGGCCGATTATAGAGCTACTTTTCTTGTTAAATCTCGGAAGCTATTCGATTTGTTAGTTAACTAAAAAAATTCCACAGTCCGTTGATTTGCAAAAATGACCGGGACAATTATTGGAAAAGATTGTTTTACCGTTCCACTATGTATAAAAAAATTGGGTACACTCTTGTACTCCCTCAGTTTGAGAGACAAACGAGGAGACAAAGCATCTCTTTTTCTACTTGTTTATTTAATTAATCAATGAGTATGAAACCTACGGTGATCTGGTTTGTCATATTGTTTTGTTATCAAAAGAAGTTACTAAATACGGATTTTCAAAAAGATCGGATGAATTTTACTTATAACTCTCGCCAGGAGAGATTGCCGGTCACAGCACACCTTGTGCCAATTTACAATCTATGTTTTTTTTTAAAATGCGAGCGACTTCTGGAATAGGATCGTGCCAATATTGAACGAAAAGACTTTTCGTTCAACATTGGCACGATCCCATCCCGGAAGTCGCTCACATCTTTAGAAAAACACAGCTTGTAGACCGGGATCAGGTCTTCTGTGACCGGCAATCTTTCCTGGCGAGAGGTTTAGTAATAACAAAGTGTTAATTTTCGAGATTACTTTTTTACATTTTTCCATAAATAACAATAACAGTTGAAAATGAGAATTCCGGGCCAACTGTATCTTATAGTAAATTTTATTCTAAACAAGTTCATTTCTATTCATTTTTTCCCTCCGAGCAATAGTTAACGAGATATTGGCAGTCAAATGTGAAAAAACACGACATTTTCCCATTTTTTCTTCGTTTTTTGTTTATAACAATATGTTCCGGGCGTTTCCGGCCATGGGGACTATGATTTTCGGAATCAGCGTATTTTTTTACATAGGATACGCTTGGTGTCGTTGAGTGAAGTGACAACATCCAGCCCAAACCGTAATTTGACTGGACTATTTGCAATTAACATGATCAAATATTGTAGGCGGTGACATTTACACTTGGGGTGCGAATGATCACGGTCAGTTAGGAATTGGCACAACCACACCTTCAGAACCAAGTCCCACACTGGTTTCCGCCCTGGCAGGAATCCCCATTGCGCAAATAGCCTGCGGTAGCTATCACACGTTTGCAGTTTCCAAGTCGGGCGCAGTTTTCGGATGGGGTAATCCTTGCATACTATGATTACAGTTAACATTTTTTTTACTCAGGGAAGAACTCTCGCGGTCAATTAGGGTTGAACGACACCGTCTCCAAGTCTTTTCCTGTACAACTTCGAACTCTTAGGTCTATTAAAGTTAGATCCATTGCTTGTGGCGACGAATTTTCTACCTTTTTAACTTTGGACGGTGGAGTTTTCAGTTGTGGTGCCGGAATGTATGGTCAACTCGGTCATGGGAACACGGCAAATGAGATACTTCCAAAAAAGGTAAGAAGTCACTGGGAAATTAAACCAGTTTCTCAGTTCTAAACATACAATCCTATGTATACTGTGACTCTTCTTTCATCTTTTGGACTCTTGCTAGTATATGCTCTATTTATTCTTTACGGGCTATATACATTGCAGATTTGCAGGATTTCGATCCTCAGAACAATTATTATAGACGCAATGTTTTTTTTAAACAATATGTGTTTCTGGATGGTTCTGTCAAAACAAAAGTACTATCAAGTTAATGTTTACCTAAATTTTTTGATAGGTTTTAGAATTGATGGGCTCTACCATAACTCAAGTAACATGCGGCGGTCGTCACACTTTAGCCCTAGTTCCTTCCCGAAGTCGAATATACAGTTTCGGTTTAGGCGGTTCTGGACAATTAGGCGGAAATAATCCGGCCAACGCCGTAACTCCGCAAGTTGTGCTTGGCCCGTGGGTGTCATCGAGCGGATCCTCTCTAATCAATCACTCTAGTCAACCGCAATGTGTGATATATCGAATTTTTGCGGGCGGAGACCATTCGTTTGCAACTGTTACCGATAGAAGCGAAGACATTTCTCCATTCGACTCTAGGGAAATTCAGCCGAAAATGCAGATTCTGGAACTAAATTATGAACACCTGCACAGCTGTTTGACGATACCATCGAATGGAACGGTTGATCAAGAAACAATGCTATACTTAGAAACTGTATTTAAAAGTTTGGCTTGCATTAATGGTTCTTTTTTGCTAAACAATGATGAGCACTACTGCTGCTCGAGCAAGCACCACGGCATTAATTTGGAGATGACCGAAAAAACGTTTTCTTTGATTGGGCAATGTGAAAATCAAAGCATCAAGGATTTGGTAAGTGAAGCATTACAATTTAAGCGTGTAAAAATCTTGTCCGTTATTTAGATTTGGGCTTCCGTCACTGAAGATCTACTAGGAAAATTAGTTTCATCGCCCCCTGACGTGGAAACACTACGAATTTATCTCTCATTGCCGTTTTATCATGAATTTAATAACTGCAAACAGTACCATAAATTGCACAAGAAGTTTGCACATAACGTATTGAGACTGCAGCCGGCCGCGCAACGAGTGGTCGCATTGTGGTGGAGCACCCTCAGATTTGATTATTTTGAACGGCTGGTCAGCAATTTTAAAAATGTCGTCTGTTTTATCATTAGAAATCAAAATATACAGCCTAATAAGGTAGTTTTTATAATGTAGTCAGTTTATACACCGCTTTTTTCAGACAATTTCCTACGATGCGAACTTGGTTTCCATGCTAGATGTTTTGATGTTTCTTCATAAGATTAATTGCAACATGGAAAAAACAAAGATTTCGTATGACACCTTCCATCTACCAGAACTGTCCGAGTTCTTGGATGTTCGAGTTGATTATATTTTATGGCTTACTGATAACGTGAGTAGGCTACTTCCTGTGTTGAATAAAATTCGTATAACATTATCAAACCTTCTGGAAATATTCCTAAACAAATTCACTCCCAAAGGCGAAGAAGTTTTATGTTTAAATATTATAAGTTGTTTTAAAGCAACATAAAATTGTGCATTGGAAAAAATTATAAAGCTTAATATAACGGTACAGTCTTGTGTCCATTGTACCATAAAACCTTTGTTGAAAGGAAGAATGAAAACAAGCATGTGGCAATACCTTTGTGAGTTCTAAGTAAATTTAAGTTAATTGATAAGACTTTTATCTTGGCACTTTCTTTATTGATCGGAGAGTGTAACCAATGTTTATTTATTTATAGTTATACCACCGAAAGTTAGGTCTTTAGGTGAAGTCCAGGGGGCGTGTTAGATGAATAATTCTTATATTAGTTCCAAACCCTGTAATACAATTTACTAACGGCAGGTCTCATAATCATACAATACAAGAAATTGATCGCACTACGATCTCGCTAGTTTTTTTATCTCGAAAAATGCACACTTATCGAAAATATACACGTTGTTATCGCTCTTATTCCAGTCATAATTTTGTTCACGTTCGCTATAAAGCGCTACGTATGGAAATTTCCCTATGTTTAACACAATACAAATTCAAAACTAATTTTTGAAACCGCAAAGCGACCTCCTCTTACCAAGACCAGTACCCCACCCTGTACTTGATTAATATTTACTACAATACGTGTATAGTACAGAACGGAAGTAGAACTTACGCATATATCTTAGGAAAAGTTTGTGACATTATTGTAAACCATTATGGAAAGGACAATGGCGTGGTAAAGAGGAAGATAAGATCCGAACTGGTAAGAAAGATCGGGAAGTGGACCAGTTCTTTCGATTTTGAAGGTAATAAAGTAGTTCATTCTTCAACGTTAATTTTTCTTTAGTTATACCTGATCGAAATTTACAATTGAAAGAGTTTATGGATGACAATCAACGTGCAGAACAAAATGTAAGCCCTAACAAAATCTAGATAAAGTATTCCAATATGGATGACAGTTTTGCAGATTTAAAAACTGACGAAGAATCCTCCAACACCATCAAAGAAATGACATAATAGTATATTCTATAACGAATAAGGGTATATTCTGCGAGAGTGGAAAGTTCTTCACTCGAGCCGAAGGCGAGCGAGTCTCTGCCCATTTTTCTGTCTGGGACATATTTCAAAATTTCTATCAATTAAGGCGCTCTTCTAATGCCACCCAATCCAATCAGCCATGGTTTCCTGCAATTCAATTAATTAACTACGGTTAATTATACTCGTTTAATTTGCTGGATTAGAATTTCCAGATACTTAACATTTAATTCAGATGACGTGCCTCCAAAGTTAGGAAAATCCTAATATATACACCAACCAATTGAATAATCAGATAGTAATACATCTCGACACTTATCAGTCACTTAGGTGGAAAACTATAAATGAATGAACAATCGTGTAATACATTGCATTCTATACTGGCTGTGCCTTTTTCCAGTTTAAGTCTAATAAAAATCTACCACATATGGAATCTTTGCTAATGACAGGGTTCGCAAATAGTCTCTTTTTTAGACATTGGTCTCTTTTTTCAATGCTGGTCTCTAAAAGTCTCTATTTTTCGTATTTGGTCTCTAAAGTCTCTAAATTTTGCATGTTAAAAAAGTATAATTCATAATTGACAAACCGCAGAAATTTTACTGTGCATTTTTAGGGCATTTTTTAAGAATTTAAAAAAAGGTGCTATTGTTTGCGTTTTGTCCGTCCGTCCGTCCGGACCCACTTCTGCCGTTTCGAACTACTTATAGGATAATGGTATATACCTGGAAGGTGTGCCAGACGGCCGTCAAATTTCGCTGTCTAAAAGGGTGCCCCCTCCCCCCAGGAATTATTTCCCGAGATGCTGTTTTTGAAAATAAAATGTTCATAACTTTTATGTACAGGGTGGCCAACTAAGAATGCGAGGTACTGTATCTGAGAATCTATCCATCGTAGAGGCTTGCGGTAAAAAAATTTATTACTAAAACGGCCACGAGAAAAACCTGGAAAATATTTTTAAGTTTCTGAAATGGCCACTAGGGGGCGTAACTGCAATCTGGAAACTAAAAAAGTGATGTTTCTGTGAATTCCGCTATATTAACCTAACAAAAAAATGTCCGGTCTTTGAAGTTGACGATAATCTGAACCTTTTTTGTTTGACAATTTTTCCTGTATCTCTTAAAATGAAGTGGTGGGGGGTATTCAAAGGTTTCCGTAAAGAACACCCTGTATCTTCGAAACGGCTGAGCCGATCTAAACAAAGTCGGGTTAGTTCAAAAGAGCCACTCTTCAGCTACAAATATTATACTATTTGAAGTTTTGTTAGTTTCACATATCACCGCTTTTTTATGAAAAAAAAATCAAACCAACGCATTTAATTTTTTTGAGAAAATTAACCATTTCTGTCGGAATGTCTAAAAAAGCCCTCAAGCGGCGATTGTGAAACTAACAAAACTTCAAATATTATAATATTTGTAGCCGAAGAATAACTCTTTTCAATTAACCTGAGTTTGTTAAAATCGGCTCAATCGTTTCGAAGATACAGGGTGTACTTTACGGAAACCTTTGAATACCCCCCACCACATCATTTTTAGAGACACAGGAAAAATTGTCACTTATAATTGCACAAGAAGTTTGTATTTTACCGAGTAAATTTGGGTTGTTTAGGTAATGAAAATCTGTTGCCTAGCAATTAGACGAGAAAAACTGTCAACTAATAAAAATGCGACACCGCAGGTGGAGCATTTTTAGGTTGACAGTTTTTCGAGTCCAATTGCTAAAAGGAAACAGATTTGAATTGCCACAACCCAAATTTATTCGGTTTAAATACAAACCTCGAGTGTAATTCGGCAGGACAATTTAACGAACAAGAAATTCACCAAACTTATCAATTATTGACAGACGTCAAACTAGTCATATGGGTAAGGATAATGCGATTATTGGTTCGAAAATGAATAAGTGAAAAAACCACTAGTGCATTTGTCGCTGGAAAAGTTGCAGGTAACTTTTGCCGCTGTCAAAGTGACAATTACACTGCGGCTTATGCGATTTTTTATACATGAGTTGAATTGTCAAACAAAAAAGGTTCAGATTATCGTCAACTTCAAAGACCGGACATTTTTTTGTTAGGTGAATATCGCGGAATTCACAGAAAAATCACTTTTTTAGATTCCAGATTGCAGTTACGCCCACTAGCGACCATTGCAGAAACTTAAAAATATTGTCCAGGTTTTTCTCGTGGCCATTTTAGTAATAAATTTTTTACCGCAAGCCTCTACGATGGACAGGTTCCCAGATACAGTACCTCGCATTCTAATTTGGCCACCCTGTACATACGACAACCAATTGGTCTCAGATTTTGCATACGCATGCCTTTAGCGGTGCCAAGTTAAACTTTACAAAATGGAGGGGGGGGGTAAATACATGTTAATGAAAGGTTTCAACGAAAGGAATTAATTTCTACCAACCGCAGCCCTCTTCCTCGACCTATTCCCTTATACCTCAAGACCGAATTGTCTGAAGAGAAATATATCCATTGTTGATGGTTAAAAAAATGCTCTTTATCCCCACAAGAGTTGTGCACAACTTATACTTGTTTAGATATATTGCCGTTTATGTAATCTATTACAAAATAAATATTTTTTGCTTAATTTTGTATGGAAATTGGTTCTCGAAGGTCTCTAAATGGTCTCTATTTTTAAATATGTAAATAGAGACCAAGTCTCTATTTTTTTGCTAAAATCAGTTGCGAACCCTGTAATGAAACCAATGATATAATTGATTAACTCCTTGCACATTAAGCTAAATGTATCTTTTGTGTTGCCTTAAATTCGCATCATTTAGGAGACATTATCTTTATTGTTCTGCTCTATTTTCAGTCCAATAAATTGTTTCTATGCAATTATCCATTTCTGTTTGATGCGAATGCGAAAGTAGAACTTCTGCAAACCGATCAATCTATACAGGTAATTATACCTTATCTACCAGTGTAATTTGATAGGACTCTACAGATGCAATCGGCCATGAATGCTGCAGCAACAAGAGCTTTTATGTCGATGATGTTTCAACCTAATGCGCTTAGTGGAATACAGCAGTTTTTAGTACTTAATGTCACACGTGAAGCTATAGTAGCCGACACACTTAGAGAATTAATGGAAGTCGATAGTCACGATTTAAAAAAGCCCTTAAAGGTAGCTTTCCATTCTGTTCCCTGAATACTTTTCAAACCATATCACTTTCAGATAAAATTTTACGGGGAAGAAGCTGAAGATGCGGGTGGTGTTAGGAAAGAATTCTTCATGTTGCTGTTGCGTGAAATTTTGGATCCCAAATATGGCATGTTCAAAGAGTATGAAGAGACGAGAACAATTTGGTTTACAGAAAATCCTTTTGAAGATAGCGTGATGTACTTATTAATTGGTAGATCATTTCCTTGTTTGATTCTTACATTAAATTTTACGCTTGTTTAAGGTTTAATATGCGGATTAGCAATTTATAATTTTACAATAATTGATTTGCCGTTTCCTTTGGCCTTATATAAAAAATTACTAAAGGAATCGGTTACATTAAGTGACCTAAAAGATTTAACACCAACTGTAGCTAATTCGTTAAAGTCGATGTTAGAATATGGGGAATCTGACTTTGAAGAAGTTTTTGGCATTAATTTTGAAATCAGCAGAGAGGTATTTGGTGAACAAACTGTCGTCCCTCTCAAGCCAAATGGTGGCAAGATACCAGTAACTCTCGAAAACAAGTATGCTATCTTTAGTATGTGTTTAAAAGTATGCATTGAAAGTGTTTTAGAAAAGAATATGTCGACTTGTATGTGGATTATATTTTTAATAAATCAGTTTCATCTATGTACGAGCCATTTTCTCAAGGTTTCATGAAAGTTTGTGGTGGTCGCGTGTTACAACTTTTCCATTCGCACGAGTTGATGGCTGTAGTTGTCGGAAATGAGAATTATGATTGGCATGCCCTTGAAGAGTCTGCCGAATATAGAAATGGTTATTCTTCCTCTGATCAGACAATTCGGTGGTTTTGGGAGGTTATTCACGAAATGCCCTTGCAAGATAAAAAGAAATTTCTACTATTCCTAACCGGCTGTGACAGAATTCCAATTCAAGGGATGAAAGCAATTCAGGTACCAATCATACATTCAACACAAATAGTTGACTTTGTTTGTTCCAGATTGTTATTCAACCAACCGGCGATGAAAAATTCTTACCAGTAGCACACACATGCTTCAACTTATTAGATTTGCCTAGATATAAAACAAAAGAGAGACTGAGATACAAATTAATCCAAGCTATTCAACAAACTGAGGGATTTTCACTTGTTTAATGCTACTCTTGCCTTCTCACCAACAACAATAAAATCTATTTTTTATTACAAATTGTATCTTTGTTATTTTGTTGGAAATATAACAAATCAGTTGCTATTAGAACAATACTAAATCTAACGACGTGCCTAGTAGTTCATTTCACTTATGAAACTCCTAGTCAGAGATATGTGTTAAAGTGCAGCTGTAAGGGTGAACACAAATACTTTATAATGTTGTTATGAGTAATTAAATAAATTTGTCATACGTTTTACTGTAATGTTATGTGTCGATGATTATTCAAAACTGATTTGAAAACATTTTACGGTTCACCAACTGCTTACATATGATGCTAAGATACAAAAAAATGGAATCATAAAGGTGAACATTGTGGCTTTCGAAATGTCTTGACTGAATATTATGATCAGCATTGTCCTGTAGGCAGCCAATGACTATGAATGAAAAATAAGCCCATAAACAGCTTACACAAGTTGCAGCTCTAGGCACAAACAAAGAGCTATATGCTAAGACACAAGAGCTGCAGTCCGCACGAGACTAGCAAGCAACACGTACAACGAAGAATTAGAGTGTGTAAGTTCTTACTCCATGAAATAGTTAAATCGAAGCATACAGAGCAATAGCACACTGATAAACTTCCACATGAATCAGAGCTGGGTCGAGCGTTCTAAAAAACCGCTCGAGCGATCTAATTGTCTCAAAAATGCTCGCGAGCATCGAGTTGTTTTTCAAAGCGAAACTGCTTGCGAGTCGCTTGAGGTCTGTTAAAAGCGCTCACAAGCGAAAAAAAACGCTCAGGAGCGGAAAAACCGGAAAAAGATCTTGCGGGGGGGGAGGGGGTACGTTCAAAATAAGTAGTCCCGAAATTGATAAATTGAGTAATTCTAAGCAACTTTTGTTCTGTAGAGTTTTTTCACTAAGTCAATAGTACATATTCGAGTTCTTTGCGAGCGAAAATGTTCATTTTTCAACAAAAAAAACCACGTTTTCAGACGGTTTTTCGCAAATAACTCTAAAAGTAGGTAAGTATTATATCGAAAAAAGTATTCTTATCAAAAATATAGCTTATAAAGAAACAAACAAAATGGTCTATATTTATGAAGTCTGTAGATCCAGTAGAAGCAAAGTTGTGGCTCATGAAATGTAGGTTTTCATTCGTCAAATTCCAAATTGAGTACTTCAACGTGAAATAACCAAAAATGAAGCACTTTTCGAGGAAAACTTATGAACGAGCTTATGAATACTTTTTTAAAGTGTTTGAAAAAACCTTTCTTTTTGTTTTTAAGAAAAGTTCCTAGCATCAAAACTAAGTGAGTTACGCTCAAAATAAAGTTGGCCCTTTTTTTTGGTAAAAAAAATTGAGGAAATCACCCCCTAATTAGCACCCCAATTGTAATTAAGCGTTACAGCTTTACAGTTTATTTATGTATTGTTTATATGATCTGTAAGTTTGACTGGTGCAAAGTGCTTATTTTTGAAAAAATGTAGTTTTGAAGTAAAAAAATTTTGAATTTTGAAAAATTGCCTTTTTTTTCAAAATAACTTCAAAAGTATTAGTGATACCATGGCAACTGCCTCGCTCTTGCTGGCCTGGCGTTAATACCATTTGTACCGCTTCTTACAGATTTCAAGTAAACGGTGCAACGTGAACATGCGCTCAGAAAAAAAGATCCATAAAGATTTTCATTTTTGGGTAATATTAGTGTTCAATATTCTAAACAGTTTCGACTGCCAAAATTTACGTTTTAAACAAATCAAAGAAAGCTTGGGAAGTATGTTTTCATATATTTTCACTTGCCCATATTGCCCTGCAATTACGCCGCCAAACCAACTTCGCTTCTTGGTCCCAAAGTTAACGTTTATAGGAGACGGGTCCCCATATTCGCAGTTAAGCCCTTCAGATGTGTAACATCCAGATTGGTAGTCACAATTCGCATTATTGCTCCAGGCCACCGAAATTGGAAATTTGTAGTAAAAATACGGCAAAAAAACGACTTTTTCATTGTTTTTTGGACTTTCCAGGCGCCATAATGGTATTTAGGCCCCTGGCATATGGCACTGCGGGAGGTCCCCACATATTTAAATGTTAATTTTAATATAGAAATAAATATTGGACGCCGGCACCAGGCCAGAAAAAAAAAGGACGAAAAAAGACGAATTTTGCATTTTTGACGTTTTTAAGGGGCATTTTGGCACTTAATATGCATACCAAAGTGTACCTACTTAAACGGTGTCGTCGGGTGTAACAGATGTTATTCTACCCATAAAGGACCCAAAACGTTCAGCGGTGCCTATGGGGGCTCGAAATAACTGAAAAACGGCAATTTCGGCCGCCATCTTGGATTTGGGGGCTTAAATGCCAAAATGGGGTCTGGCAACAGGGCGCATCGTTCTCAGCGGGGTCGAATTAGTCTAGAACTGCCACTTTGCAGCACAAAACGCCGTTAGACATGCACTTTTCAGAAATGTCTCCCTGACTATACATATATGTGTGTATTTATTTAATAAAAACAGCAAAGAAATCTAAATTTAATGTTACTGTATAATTAAATAATCCCAAATTGCTTTAATTTACAATAATATGATTAATTGGGTTAGTTTCCATCCCTAAAAAATAAACAGCAACCAACGGCACAGGTCCAGTTTTGAAGTGGAGGGTAAGAATAACCTAAATCCAAATTTCCATGCAAATCAGTGGAGTCAAAGTATTCTATGACATTGTTTTAATTATAAATTTATAACTATTTTAGAGGTAAGATTTATGGGTTAAACCAAAGAGTACCCATTACCTACTCTTTGGTTAAACTGTGATAAAATCCACTGCGGTTCTCGCGTTGGATATTATTGCGCCAGTACTCGCGTGGCGTGGGGTATTAAAGTACCCCACTGTTACAATGCCAACAATGAAAGTGTATCATTTTCCTCGCCTATGGCCTTTGAAATAGATTATTTTTTATGCTCCTTCCACGTTCATTTTGAGCACTTATTACATACAAAGAGAAGCACTCTAAGACAGTACTTGCAACGTGATCTTTGGTACGGACATTTTATGAGGTACACTGGTCCTGGAGCTTTCAGTAGGTACTATAGATACCATGTGCTCTCCTTTTTGATACACGTGGTTGTATCTTGCTCCATTTCGTAATGTTATCTTTTCGTAAAATATGTGGATTTGCACTATCACACTTCACAGATGTCTGGTCGTAAATAGCCAACTCCGGAAGATTGAACTGTTCTCCACTTCCAAAATATGACACTCAAAAAAGACAGAGGGGTACTTAAGTACCCCACGCGAGTACTGCGCAGTGTTAAATTATGTTGTTTAATGTTAATTGATATTTATTCACACCTTTACAAGATGATTTGAATCAATTACTCGCTTTAATTAACAATTATACGATTTTTTTCTAATAGGGGTAGTTTTTCCCCTAAAAAATAAAACGCAAACCCTGGGCTCAAGTTCAACTTTGAAGTGGAGGGTAAGTAGAACCTAAATCCAAATTTTCATGCAACTCGGTAGAGACGCGGAAAATTACACAGTATCGCCGTATTCCACGTTCATTTACTGACCCATAGAGCGTCGAGTGAAAAGTAATTTTCACTGAAGGTTTAGAGGTCGAAGTAGCAGATTCGCGAGACAGGAACGCTGTGAATGCCGCGGGTCTCTTTATTAATTTAAAGGAACCATCATTTCTTGTTCAGCTGTTCATTCTTGAGAACGTTTTCACATATATGCATATTGTAGCCAAAACACTTCAAGAAAAGGAAGCTACTTTGGGGAAAGCATCTTCCGTTATAAGAAGTACAATAGATAGCTTCATTCGAAAATATGAGAAACGGCGAAAATTTTCTCACAATTTGGCAGAAACTTGAGAAATTTTCCGAATCCTATGACATCTCATTAGAGCCCTTGAGGTCTTCCAAAAGAAAAAAAAACAGCCTTCCTGCCTCTTGAAAGGATGTATTGCTGAAACTACGCAAGGTGCCATCGTAGAAGCAACCACATATCGGATCAAACAACAAGTATTGGCGGGTAGATGTGTACTAAAAAATTTTACACTCGATAATAAAATTATTGTTCATAGACCAATATTCCGTTAAGTTGAAAATTGATAAAAAGTCGTTGAAAGCAGAGATGACAGTTGTAAAAAATGTCATTGCTTCGAAGAAGGAGCGTATCCTATATAGTATGAAATTGCAGAATGTCTGAATTAATAAGTAATTGCACAACATTAACGCAAGGACTTAAATTTCCATTTTATTTTATTTCATTAAGTATAGGTATATACCATTCACTTTGTAAAGCAATGCTCAAGTGTATGTGTTTTGTGTTCTCACTTATGCTGTTAAAAGGCTTAGTGTGCTCTCCACACCATAGTCATGGTAAGTAGGTGATTTATAACGTATTGTTTATAATATTTTTAAATAAGATAATTATTATAGATCATACGGACCATTGCCATGTTCAAAGTAAATCAGGCGTAATACATATTGATGTAGGTCAAACAGTTTCAATACCAAGAGAATGCATGGGCGCACGATGTGAGAAAAATGTGACGGTAACCGAACTTCAGTAAGTAAAAGTATTATTTCTTATCAACTTATTAACAGATTAAATTTTTACAATTACGTCTACAGGTGCATGAAAGAAGAACCCAAAGTGCGCTCCAGTAATTGCACCCTAACGAATCCTGATTATACAAAAGAGTTTCCCGATTGTTGTCCCTCTATGATGTGTAATCACTCAACATGACTTCCTTCCGGTCACAGGTGTATTGGTAACACAAGAAACTGTCAAAATAAAATGTCTGTATACTGTAAATCAAGAATTTTGAAAACTGTAAATATTTAAATTAAAAAAATTATTTTATGCAAACAGATAGTTTTGAAAATTGGTACCTATAATCATCGGTTCTGTTTCCCCGTATATTTTAGTTGTAGTACTGTCTATATATAATGCAAAAATCGACCTAAAGTAAACATTTTCTTTCATTAAATCGCTCTATGCACCATTCGCCGCACAATACTAAATACACAGGAACATATAAAATGCATAAAAAATAAAGTTTCTCTATCTGTAAGGTTGCACTTCTGGCATCTGGAACAAAATACAGGGTGCAGAGATGGAAAGCAAGGCAGAATAATATTCAAACTAGTTGAGGATTCCATGACATAAACGCCGACGTTGAAGGATTCAAAAATGTTGTAAGAAGTTAGGGAGCTGTGGTTACCCTAGGTGTCCAATAGTTCCCGTACATGTTCATTAGAAATATTGACAATATTAAAATAGTGAGATTTTCTCCTCAGTATTAATGCCTTGACGAATGGTTTTCCGTGTTCCAGACAAATTTCGCCCAATAGTATTAAACATGTGGGGTCCCATATCGTTGAGACCTTTAATTAGAATACAATGAGAGATAAGATTAATTTTTAAAACCCTACCCCCCTCAGGCCCCATCGCTCACTGATCTCGAGAAAGAGTCGCACGGGTAAGTTATAGTTTGTACAAAAAAATTTATTTTGATGAGACCTTTCATTAGAATAACATGAAGGGTAGAACATGTGCCCCCTCCCCTCATTTTTTAAAGTTTAACTTGGCACCACTAAAGGCATACGTATGCAACTCTGATACCAACTGGTTATCGTATGTAAAAGTTATGCACGTTTTACTTTCAAAAACAGCATCTCAGAAAATAATTCGTGGGGGGGGGGGCCTTTTAGACAGCGAAATTTGATGGCCGTCTGGCACACCTTCAAGGTATAGGCTACCTACTTCCAGGACTCTAGGGCCATTCCCCTAGAAGAAGTTCGAAACGGCAGAAGTGGATCCGGACGAACGGACGGACGAGCAAAACGTAAACAATAGCACATTTTTTTTTAATTTTAAAAAAATGCGCTAAAAAAAGTCATTCCGGATGGCAATAAACGCATAAGAATTTGGTCTAATGGATGTATACGCAGAGAAATTAAGAGTAGATTTCAAACAAATTTATAATATGTGGAGATTGGAGAAAAAACAGGCCGCTACTTGAGTACAGGATAAAAACAGCGTAAAAATGCAATACAGTGTCCATAAGAAATAAGAAAGTAGGTAGTAGCCTGTAGCTTCTACCTCTAGCGTGTTATCATTGAATAACTAAATAATTACTTATTCAATGGTGTTAAAGAAATTCTGATAACAGATTCAGATTCTCCGAAAAAAATCCCATCGGAGGTGCCAACGGGAACGCTCCATTTCCTACAGTTCAAGCTAGAGAAAATGAAAACGATATTTGAAATTTTCAGTTTTTCGATAATATTTCAGTTATTTTCAAAGAATTTTCAAATATTTCAAATAGGAGATCTCAATGGTCAGCCAGGAATTTGAACCACCCTGTACAATCCTCCTTTAAAATTGTTCTAAAGAACTGATCCGCGTGGAGAAACTCAAAATGTAGAAAAGCACTAGAAGGTAGGAAACGTTTATATATACACTGTTATGAAGTTAGGCAACAAGTGTCCAACACTAGGCAAACTAAGAGTAAATAGAGAACGGACAGACTACTAGAGTCCAGTAAAGAACATTTCCGTAATTACAACAACCAAAATGTCTAAGTATAGGTTTCTATAGGATTTCTATAGATTGCGTCATGTCTATCAGTAACGTCTTTGTTTTTAATTGTCGCCACATTGACGAGAACTGGTGTTGTTTTACACGCTAGAAACGGGTCATATTAGGTTACATATCATACGATGCAAATTAAGTATTCTTTGGGAAAACATAAGTAAAATCTGTCGTGTCTACATTTCTGTAGACTGTCCTGAAAGTTGACGAACCAATGAGCATTAACAAAATATCTCCGCCATTCCTTTGGGCGAAAAATTAGCGTTTGGTCAGTATTGCGATTCGATTAGCGGTTGTGGTGCTAGTTACTGTTTTGGTCATTATTGCGTTTCATATAGCGGCCATTTAGAGTCTGAATAAATCAATTTGCGTTCGGAATCGCCGAGCTTAGTTATTCAGTTAAAAGCGAAGTTTAATATCAAGTGTGGATCCAGTGGTCGTCTAGAAAATTATCCTTTGCTCCAGTTTAAAAATTCAAGTTTCCTTTTATTAGCAAAAGTGCATTATCATTTTCGCTACATTTAAATTTACGTGCATATATATCGTGCCCGATAGTTTTTAAAACAGATTTCAGTTCAGCAAAGGATTAAGGCAATATAAAGCTTCGTCAGCTACAGTGAAGGGCAATTAGTGAAAAGTTTACTAGGGGGATTTCCTAAACATTAAATCAAATTTTGATAACATCCGTTTCAATTGACCACCTGAATTTGCGACCAGTCTAATCAGACTTTTACCTTGCGGAATCAAATTCGGATTCCAATAAAATTTCACTATAAGGGAACCAAATTTAGAGGTTATTGATAAGTTAATGTGTCAACGTGTCAAATAAAGGACTAGGTTGCGTTTGAAGTAAAAACTTTAGTGTCTCTATTTCAAATTATTAATTGATTTAGCATTAGTAAAAGAGATAGCCACTTCAACTTAGAATTAAACTGTCCCCGTATATAAAAGCAGTTTTAGACTCTCAGGGAATTTGGCTGATTGATTATTAAATAAGGGTAAAACAGGAGTCTTATACACACCTGATGCATCTCCTTAGAGATGCTATTAAAATGAAGACATGCGGGAAACTGACGCAAAGTGTTTTGTTGCTCCACGACACAAGTCCAGATTTTCAAAAGCTGCTGTAGCTGATGGTGGTTTCGAAGAAATTGATCATCCGCTTAAAAGTCCAGATCTAGCATCCAGTGACTATTTTTTGTTCCCGAATCTCAAAATTTAAGGACAATGACGAACTTATGCCTGCTGTTGAGGACCGTTTTGCGGAATAACCAAATGAATATTTTTATACTGAATTAAAGATAACGGTGTATATATACTCAAAAGCGCGGGAATTATTATATTAACGGACCTAAATTTTAAATTTGTTGCTGATGTGATCTTTACGCCATCAAAATTAGTTGTATTTAAGCAATCATGTCTAATTATTGAACCACTTTTTTATTAGTTAGAAGTATTTTCAATTTTTATAATTAAACTAAATCAATCGTGGCATTACTCCGCAAGATTTATAATATCGCATTTGTTTCTTATACCTTCTGGTACAAAGCAGTATTTAGTAGGTATTATCTAAACAATTTAGCGCTATATTTTTTGTACAAACGTGGCTTTATAATTGTAAGACTGTATCCAGTGGTCGAAGCTTGTGGATTTGCCCCTTTAAAAGCTGACTGGTAGACAAGATGTTACTTAATTTCTTCTGCATGAAGGCATCAGAGAAAAACCTTGCAGCAGTGTACAAGTGTACATATAGAAAAATAGCACTCAAAAACGTGTGATTAAGCGTTTATAACAGGCATTAACAAATACCACATTTTATAATTTCAAAAAAGACCATTAGAATTTAACGTATTAGGGGTGATATACTCGTATTTCAGACGCATAGAATTATTACAAAAAAAACTAGCACCTAAATAAAAAAATGTAAAGTAAAAAAATTACATAAATTAACTAAATTAAATCAATTTTTAAAGTACGAAATGCAATCATTCGGAAACCCTTCCAATACTTGCAGAATATTCTTAAAAATGACATAAAATATAGTTTTCCCGAAATTTTTTTAAACTTGCAAATTCGTTAAAATTTTCAGTAGTATATTTAAGATGAACTACTAAGTTTTTCCTGCAACACTCGCTCGATTAGAATTGGCGTCGGTATATAAATTATCGAAACTACATAATAGTTATTTATGTATTAAGGGCATAATAGTGATGTTTATATTCTCGAGGGCGACGAGTTAAAAAGCTCGAGGGCCTATGGCCCAAGAGCTTTTTAGTCGCCCGAGAGTATAAATATCAGTTTATGCCCGTGGTACATACGCAATTTTATGTTTTACAAATAGTTTTCTTCGTCAAAATTCGTTTACAAAATAATTCAGTATGTTTGATCGAGTATGCGTGGTTCCAATTTGTTAATGTGATTGAAACCATCCAAACGTCAAACGTAATTTTAAATAATTCAATTCATTGTGAAAGAGCAAGAAGTTCCAGAAACTACGAAATAAGGCCAATCTTGTGATTTAGTAGGTATTGACAATTAATAATTGACGTTTCTAATTTTCAATGATCTGCAAATATTTGTTTGTTTTGTGATTAAGCATAAATGAGTTACTATGGTGATACTTTATGCCCTAGGGCATAAAGTGGTACTTTATGCCCGCGTATCACAGATATAAAATGTGCTATGATAGGTTAGTAAGACATAAAGTGTTTTTATATGTTGTGTATTTATAAATCTCGAGTAATATTTATAAAGGGGTACTTACTGAGAGATTGAAATAAAACATAGAATCTAAAATTAAGTCAGTTAATAGAGTATGAAACAGACCTCCCACACGAGTAGCGTCTGCGTGCACCTACCTTTAGCACGATGTCGACGTCGTCGGCGTAATATTAAAGCTAGTTAGCGTGTATTATCTTCGACGTCGGTTGTGGAACTCAAAAAAGGCGAGTGAACACGTTTACTAAATCGTATAGTAAAATGCGCACAGTGCTCGGAATAGTTTTATTTTTGTTTGTAAATGGTAAGTGCACGTCTAAATTTTAATTTTTTAAGCTGTGCTCATCGCCAATAATTCAATTTAAAATTCAGTAATTTTCAATACTTTTGGTTCGAAGAGTGCCATATTTGTGAGACATGAATGAGATGAATTTTGAATACAGCAAGGCCAAGAAAAAGAGCCTGTTCCCATATAAATAACATTGTGAAAAACAAGTACTTCTACATCTTGTTATGTAACTGATATGCATAAGTGAAAGGGTAATAGGCAAGTTTAATCGGAGGTCTCTGAATAATTTTTTTTTGGCAAGCCCACTTAAAATATTGTGGATTTTGAGATTGAGCGCATGGCGAGATTCATAAATTCGTTAGATAAATATAGCGACTCAAATTCGTGCATTTATTTTATTTGGCCTAAACATACAAGAAAAGTATTAATGTACTCCAGTTGAATTATTCAATTGTGCCATTTATCCGTTTACGTCGTTTTGTTTTGTATACAAAATAATGCCCTGTTGTTACTTCCAATGCGAAAGGGACCATGGTGCTTGAAACAGAAAGTGACGATTTGTGAGAATTTAGGCGATATCTCAGGTTGATTTTTGCTGCCATGAGTATTTTAAGAATTGATTGATAGAAGGCAGTTTCTTCCTGTGGTTGGTATGTTGGCGCAACTACTTTTAATAAATATTTAATTAATTTTTCGCAGTGATACTCTTTTGTTTTTAAGTTAAATAGGAATAAGAAAGAATAAAATATTTAAAAATTGGAAAAGTTTAATTGATTGATTTTCACGTGTGTAAGACGTTTATTTTTTGAAATGAAGTAGCTACGCCATAAAGGGCCTCATTATTGGTTGTAGATCAAGTATTAAAATGACATAGGTATATCTGCTGTAAACTCATCCTTTCATCAAAAACACCCCTCTGTAATCTAAGCGTACAATGATTAAGGGTGACATGGCAGCATTCAGTTTGACTAATCGTCTTATGCGTTAAACGGCTAAAGGGTCGTATAAGCAAATATCTCAACTGCTCTCCTTACCAACACTTACAGGTTAATTTCACCCCCCTAACCCTTTGGGTACATGAAGAATTAGTACGTGTTTTCTTAAGCGACCTACCAAAGAGTTAGTTATGCTCAAGAACAAGTTTAGTGTTCTGGAAAGTAAATGGGAGCAACTGATAGGTGTATGTAGTTCTATTCAGTCAATGGGTACTTTAGAGTTACAAAAGATTTAGTAAACGATTTTATTTTTCCAACTTGTTTAAACGGTTAAGAAAGAGAAAAAACCATGTTTGCCAATGCGACTGACGTCGGGTAAAATTTAAGTGGTCAAAAATCAACGAAATGACTTTTTAGGTTTTTCCAAAATAACTCGCCAACGGTAATACTTGGGTAAAATCATGTTTTATTCATAATTGCAGAGCATAAAAGTATCTTTAGTTGATCCTCTAGCATGTGCAGTTTAGGAGATATATCGAAAACAACACCAGTTTTTACGTTGTTAACGTATACCTAGACAATTTTGGGAGCGGTTGCAAATATGACGAATGCAGTGGAAATCTAGGAGAGAATAAGAAACGTGAATTATTCGGTTCCAGAGGAAACCTGGTATTACACGTTTCGTCAAAGAAAATTGTATCTGCTGTGTAGGTAATGTTTATATAGGGTGTAAAACTGGTTTAGGTACGCGCCTTGGGGATTTCAATGATAAATTTCTTTATATTGAAATATTTTCTCCCCTAATTATTTTACAGCAAAGTTCTAAATGATTTTATTGTACATTGTCAAATTCTGTATCTATCCATATGCCCCTGTGGGAAATCTGAGAAATTAAGAAAACGGTAGAACAGTAGAAATCACTCGTGCCGTGAAGTTACAAAAATTAAGTTATTATAATTCAAAATGTGCACCTCGCGCCACGAATTCGTACTAAGTTGCTGTTTCCAATTCTACAATAAAAATGTGTACTACACAAAAATCGTATTACTGAGAAAATTAACAGTTTCAATTTCGAAAAGTGATATGTTTTGTCATTGCCATGAGAAAATGTGACCAGTGAGATTTAAATATTCGGTTTGGTTATATGCATGCTCCAGTCCTTTCTAGTTATGAAAAAGGTCTCTATTAATGAAGCAAGGTAACACTCACTATCCGATGCACTAATTGGCTTACGGCTTCTAAAAACACAGAAAAGCAACTGCTACTCTAAGCGACTATACAGTTTTTGCGTACTCTGTTCAACAGTTCATAAAAAAACGTTTTTTAAACACACACATTTCAAAAAAGAAATCCTACTGAGAAACTCAAGTATATGAAGAGATATAATTACTTCTTTAATTGCTTTGCAGATACTTTTAACTTCGTCGCAAAATAAGCAGGTGCCTAGTGCTTGTATTTAGATTGCAAAGTCTAAATCTAGGTCTAAATACCTACATAACTTTAACATAAAATTGTATTAGTCAGTAATGGGGAGGTACGATTAACATAAGAATGAATCGGTGTTAAAGAGTTTACCCAGAATACGCTTGTATCTTAAAAACAACTCAGTACGACATCAATTTCGTTGGATTGGTTCTGCTCAATTGACACCAATTGCGAAATTACCTAATTGAAGCATGCTCATCACTCATCAGATTGTTAATTAGAACCTACTTTATGAACGTTGCCGTTCTCACAAAACAGGTGACCCGCACCTCCACCCCTTCTACACTACAACACAAAGGAAGGCATTTTGAAGGTTCGTTGCTCACAAATTATTTAGGTACCAATAAGGAAGATGATTTTCAAATCTTCAAAAGATAAAAATAGACTTGGAAACGCTAAGAAACGCTAAAATGGGTATATGAAAATCAACTCTTTAGTTAAACTTTATGACGTGGCGTTACGTGGCTCTCAATTAGGATCTCCGTAATGGTGAGAGATACAGTGTAGGTTAAATGGGGGCAAAGTTACCCGTTTTTGTGACTAAAAAAAAGTATTTGTCATTTTTAAAAAATTTTTGAAAATCTGTAGGTAAATGTCAAATTTCCACTTCATTTTCCCGAAAATGGACACGTTAGCACCTTCTATGGGCACTTTTTTCGAAGCTTCTGAATCTGTTATCAGTATTTCTATGGCACGCTAGGTATAGAAGCTATACACCACTTTCTTACTTCTTATGGGCGCCATGTTAGATTTTTACGAAATGAGATTAGAGGACAAAAAATAAAAATAATGAGTGTCACACGTCATACTTTAAAAATTTACAAAAAGAATTTCAAAATCAAATGTTTTACATTCATTTCTCAGCAAAACATCCACGAGTAGGTATCTACATCTTGCTCAATCAACATGGCTATGATAGCGATGCAATCAAATAATTTTTTTTAATCCTCTATTTCATTTCGAAGAAATGCAATATGGCGTCCATAAGAAATAAGAAGTAGTAAGTACCCTGTAACTTCTGCATCTAGTGTATTATGGAAATTCTGACCACAAATTCAGATTCTCAGAAAAAAAGTGCCCATAGGAGGTGCTAACGGGAGCCGTCAATTTCCGACCGTTTACGCTAGTTTCCCTAAAACGAAATTTGACATTTTCAGTTTTTCGGTGACCTCAAATATTTTCAAACATTTTTCAGAAATTTCAAATACGTTTTTTTAATCACAAAAAAGGGGAAGAAACCTACACTGTATCTTTCTCCGTTACGGAAATCCGAATGGTCAGTCTCGAATTTGAAGCACCCTGGTCCTGTTGTTAACAATTATAGGCCCGAACAGAATCGTTTATTTTTAATGTAATGAAAATCAGTTTTATTGTAGTAACTCAATGTTTGACGTTTAAATAATTTAAATAAATCGTGTTATAGCAAATTACATTGAAGGCCATACCTACTTTTCCTCATAACTTAGCGCTGTTGTGCCCTTGAGCAATTTTCAATTAATATACTTGATTGATTTGATCATGATGTAACATTCACGTAATATGTAATTTGCACAGAAAAGATAAGATTCTCAATTACACGGAAAGCTGCAACATTAAACAGAAACAGTGCACTGTGTTGTGTATTGATAACTACGTCAATCCAAAAATAAATATAGTATTAAGTAAGTGAAATGTGTAACATTAGGCGAAGTTATTTATACTACCTTCTTAATAAAAAAAAAGTTGACAATATAACAGTTCTAACGATAATTAGCTAAGGTTTGGTTTTAATGATTAATTTATAAGATCAGTTGCACATTTTTCAATTTACAAAAACTGTATTATTTTTTGTTAGTGAGACCTAAGTACATAACTATTATTGTATCTCGTAATGTTCTGTAGCGTAAGTGTAATTACACGATTTATTTATTTTCAATTGATTAATAATGAATATATAACCGTCATTAAATAGATTGATTTATAACATAAAATTATTATTTGTTACTCAATTGTATTCAAATTTATAGCTAACATGTAGATTTATAGCAATAAACCATCGCGAAATTACTATTCATCAATTCGGCGGCGATGTTGGAACTGCCATTAAACACTTAAATTTGTATAGCAAATGGAAAGTTTCTAGAAATAATCACAGAACATTGTCGTAGTCAGCAGAGCTGGGCAGTATTCGATTTTGTAAATACTTTTTAGTATTCAAATCCTTAAAAGTATTCAAATACTTTGTAATTAAATACTTTTATCGAAGCAGTATTTGTATTTGTAACTCAAATACTTTCAGAAATATTTAATATTCGAATACTTCGCAAAGTATTTGGATACTTCGTAAAGTATTCGAATACTTCGCAAGGTATTTGCATACTTTGAGAAGTATTCGAATATTTCGCATAGTATTTGAATACTTAACCTTCCATTTTTACCAAAAATCGACTACTCCAAAATTTTCGGCAAAACACTTTTCTTATTAATTTTGGTGCGTAGAATCCAAATCAATAAAAAGTTATTGACAAAAAACAAATTGTGAAAAAAAACTCAACGGGCTGTAACTTTTGATCTAGTAGCCCGATCTTGGAACAGTTTGAAATTATGGATTCTACA